CACCACCGCTGGCCTCCCAGCTCTGCCAGCCTGGCCCCTCCTGTCCTGGAGGGACCCGAGGCGGGCCTGTGAACTGGCAGGGCGGGCTCCAGCCGGGGCTCTCCCTCCGGTTTCGGGGCACAGAACGCGGATGTGTGCAGTATACATCTCATTCTCCTGGGCAGGCTTGTGCTCAGGGTAAGGCCGCCCCTGGTCCCCGGACTCTAGGGCACTGCGCTGACCAGTTCGTAGCCCTGGGAGGGGAGGGCGTGTGCAGAGCTTCACACCTCCCCTGGCCCGGTGGGGAGTAAGCGCTGGTTACAGACCTGGCTGGCACGGATCCCGGCCCAGGGCGAGGCTGGGAGGTGAGCGAGGCCCCGTCGGGGGTATGCGTTCCGGGTGCCCAAGGTCTTGACCATCAAGATGAAAATCTTCATGTAAAGGTTTAAACAGAGAAAAGTTCAGGGCAAACAACCTCTCAGATACGAAGGACGGGGTCAGAACGACTGACCTCCCGGGCCCGTGTCGGTCACTCCTGGTCCCACGGCAGTCCTCACCCCTGCGCTGCTGGACAAAGCAGTGAGGGCCCCAGGCCGCAGGGACCGCGCACCGCGGAACTGTGTGGACCCCGATGTTTTTGCACCAAAACAAACGTGCCCTTTGATTCCATTTCCCACAAACCTTTGCTTTTAGATCTTTGCTAGAGGCGGAAAGTGAGAAATCGCCCTGGGGGTGGCCACACTGCAGCCCCTTCTCGTCTCCTCGGGATTCCAGGCACGCATGCGCACTTGCCCGGCGTGAATCCTAAGCCGCTGGGTCCAAGACTTGAACAGTGGTCCACTACATGGGGGTCCAGAGATAGCCCCCCCCCATCCGCTGGCCCCCATCTCCCACAAACTTTCCGAAGTCTCCCATGTTCCACGTGCCAACTGGCCACTCCCTCTCTGCCGTGGCTGCCATTCCACTGTAAGCTGGGATAAAATGCCCACCTCCCACTGGGCAGCTCTGCCCCGTGGCCCTGGGGAGCACGTGGCACAGCCAGGGCGCCCTCTGCCTCGTCTCCTGGACCCAGAGGCCACCTTCAAAGCCATATGACGTGACCCCATGTGGACTCGCTGTGCCCCATCTCACACTGCAGGGCGCCGGGTTCAAGGCGCCATTCCAGCCGGGCAGGCCAGGGGCGCCTGTTTAGAACCGCAGGGCACAAGGCGCGCCACAGCAGCGGCCGGGAACAGAACACCGGCTTTACCTTCTGCGTCTCCCTGCCCCTGCGCCCTGTGAAATAAACCAGCGAGCAGCTTTGTGCCTCGCTGTCCCCACGCCCCCTCTCGCAGGCCGGGGCAGCTGTCCGTGGCCGCAGGAGGCCCTGGCACTCCCGCGAAGGGCCTTGGAAAGGCTGAGAAAATGGAAGTGTGTGCGTATCCTGGTGCAGAAGTCCCAGCGCCCGCCCGCCTTCTTCCCCGCCAGCGTCCTCAGGGAGCCTGGCGCGGGCCCTGGTGGCTGCACACGGCTACTTGCGAAGCTTCCTGCTTCCTTGCGGGCTCCACGGCGCGCCTCCACGGTTCCCCATCGCCCCAGGCCGAGGGGCCGTGCGGTGTGGCTGGGGATGCCGTTCTGGTTGTGACCCCCCTCGTGAAGGCCTGGGCGGGGGTACCTGCCACCCCCTTCTGCTCATAGCACATGCCTCCCTCCACCTTGGGTCCTTGCTGGCGTGCCCAGTGTGCTCCGGGTGACAGGGCCGGCTGTGAACCTAGACCACCACGTGGGACAGGCCGGCTCCGTGCCTGCCCTCGATCACCCGGGACCTGCTGACCATCACTCCGCGCTTTTCCCTCAGCCTGCGCAGTGCCCAGCTACAGCTGAGAACCAGCTGGCGCCCGCAGAGGGGTGCACATGGCAGCTCTCCCGGCCACGGTGCCACACGGACATCCGCTGGGAGCCAGCGCACCTCGCACCCAGCTTGGCATGCTCTGTGTAGGACCCGGCACTCTCGGGCCACTGGCCAGCCCCACCCTTGGGACCTGCACACCGTGGGCAACCAGGCCTGGCTTCCAAACACGCAGGTCAGCGTGCTCCCGTCACCCCTGCCCGGGGGCCGCGGTCCGTGCTCCCATCACCCCTGCCCCAGCTCACACGGCTTGCAGACAGGTACTGCGTGGTCCTCGGCTGTGACACGCTCGGCTCCCAGGCTAGCAGGCGTCCCTACCGTGACGGTCCTGACTGGACAGGCACACGGAGGCAGAAGGTCGGCAGAGAAGACAGGGCCATGGGGACTCGGCCTGGCCCTGCAGACCTCTCTCACGTCACTGTGCCCGACCCACCTCTGGGCACGCCTCACCACGCTAGTGCCCAACGGGGGACGCCTGTCCCTGCAGCTGCTCCTCATGGGGACCTTGGGCCTCGTGGCCTCAGTCCCGGCACACGAGGGCGACCTGGGCCACCCAGGGAGTGAAGGAACCGTCATCCCGCAAGGGGCCGGGACAAGCATGGCCCAGGAAGACAGTGCTCGGAGCCGGGGCCCCATGGCTGCGCCTTTGTTCCCGCTGCAAGTGGCGCTCTGGGTCTCGCCCGGAAGCAGAACGGGGCTGAGGGGGCCCGGGCCCAGGTGGGTACACACCAGGAGGGGCACCCTGGGGAAGGCCGGCCCCTTACATCGCCGCGGCCTGTGTGACGGCCACTGAGGCTGGCCCAGATAGGAATGATGGCCAGCCCAGTCCTGGGCCCCTCCTGGCCGGTGGGGCGGGGAGTGGAGGGACTGGGCCCTGGCCAAGCGGTGCCAGTAACAAGAGCCAAGTCTGCCCGGCCCGGGTGCTGGCCTCTGGGCAGTCTCTGCTGGGGTGACCCCGGCTGCAGAGCGCTGCCCGCTCCCACCAGTCAGCCAGCCTGCCAGGTGACACTGTGCTGGGTGAAGCTTTATTGCCACACGCGGGCTCTCCGGGAGCCCCCGCCTGGCTGGGGCCTGGGCAGCAGATGGGCGAGCCGGCGTGCCGGCCCGCTCGGGGTCCCTGAGTGGTGCGTGGCGCAGGGCGGGCTCAACAGTCCAGGCCGAGGGACACGAGCAGGTCCTCGAGTGCCCGCAGCTGCTGCTGGGCCTCCTCGATGGCACTATAGGCCTGCACCGAGCTGGCCACGTGGAAGCGGATGTCGTCCACCAGCGGGATGGAGTCCGTCTCCTGCCGGGCCGGCCCCGCCCC